CGAAGCCGGTTTCTGCGAAAAGCCCTTGCCGGAGCGGAAGAGGAAGCCCCGGTTTATCGGCACCGAGCCAGGCACTATCGGAGCGCTGCGGCTTCCAGAAAGCGCCAGCAGCCCCGACGCCCTCCGCGCCCACCAGCACCTTTGCATATTTCCATGGCAAAGGCCCAGCTTTGCATGAGGGCCCCGCCGCACCCCGGGGGGGACCAAACGGGCCCAAAATAGCCAGCAAAGACACAGCATTTAAAAAAAAAAAAAAACAAAAAACAACCCACAAGAGAAAAACCCACACCAAAAAAACATTTTGCAATATCTGCATAGCAGGGCTGAGCCACCAGCTTGTTTTCGGTAGCGAGGGCCTCGCCAGCACTGCAGGAAGCTGTCGCCTCTCCCCTGCCTCGCCCCATCTGCAGTAAGGCTTGACAGCCCACGGGGCTGGAGCCACCCGCACAGGTTTTTGGGATAGGGAAGCACTTTGCCCCTCAGGAGGGGAATTTTCCAGCCAAGGCTCCCACAGAGGAGCTGGTCCCGGCAGGAGGAAGCTGTTCATCAAACCACTGCCCGAGCGAGGTCTGCCCGTAACCAGGCTGCACCCTCCAGCCCCGGGCAGGCTGCGCGCTTCCTCCACCCCCGACCTCGCAGGAATTGAAACTCGGGGGCCGCAGGGCAGGGAGCAATCTCGGGGAGCAGAACACCCGCTAAAGAGGCCTCCTCGGTAACTGCAGCGCCAGCTTGCTCTGCCCAGGCAGAGGAGGGACAAGACAAATGCTAGACAACCAGAGCCACACAGAGCATCTCCCCCCGCTTGGAAGGGGCGAGGAGCACGGCTCATCCCCGGGCTCCAGCAGAGTCCCTTCTCCTCGGGGCTGCAGGCCCCCGCCTCGCTGAGGGTGACAAGCCCCCGCCGCCAAGCGCAGGCACCCCGAGAGCCACAGCGCGCTTCGGGGCGCCGCAAGAAAAGCCGGTTTGGAGCATGCAGGCGCTGAGCGCAAGGCACCTCGCGGACTTTCCCCACCCACGTACACGGTGAAGGAAAAGAGCATCTCAGCACGGAGCAGCTCTGGGGAGCCCCGACGGGTGACACAAGGCACACAGAGCAGTTTTCCACAGCCCACAGAGGCTTTCTAATAACCAAGAGGCTGCGGGGCGACCCACAAGCAGCATCCGTGCTAACAGGCCCACATCAGCAGAGCAGGAGCATTTAGCACGTCAGCATCTTGTTACAGGAAATAGCAAGTTTTATACTAGAGGATTGAGAAAAGACATTTATTGACAAAACTAAGTGCTTGTTCAGCAAACAAGCAGGCCTGACAATAGCACCATCTTTCAGCTCTCCACTTGGGTTTCCACTGGGCATCACTCGGGCTGCAGGTCAAGCACGGTGGATGAGGATGTTCCTCGCTGCGCAGGACCCGGTCCCATAGAGCTCCCCAAGAACCAACTGATCCACGGTCAGAGGGCACGAGGTGGGGGAGGGCTGCAAGCCCACCAAGAAGCAATGCTACCAGCTGGGGACCAGGAACTGAGCCCAGGGCCAGCACCGACAGACTTGCACAACCTGCGGACGAGCTGTCAAGTTTTATTCTGCTCCAGAACGTTTACATTCAAACATCAGCTTCATTCGAGTCATGGCTTAGAGCATCAAAACGAAAGGAAGATAAGGAAGCGACCGATACCGACTTCCACAGCTCCCCACCCGCTAGAAGGGCTAGAATAACCAAAAAGATTAAAATAAACAAAAACCATCAACTGTTGCCAGCAAGCCATGGGCACAATGGGAGTCCACCAGGCCACTTTCCTTGCTACGCTCCCTGGCAATGTTGCTCAAGTACATCAGAGAAAGGCTCACTTGGAGTCAAGGCAGGAGAAGGCTTCACCACAAAAATGCTACTTCACATGAGGAATGAAGTACAGTGCACCCATAAGCAGTTCTACCACATTCCAAATTTCCTCTTTTTGTATCATTAGCTCTGTAAAAATGTACATATTCTACAGATTTATAGATATTTACAGGTTCTCTACAGCCTCCCCACCCCATGTGGGGTTTTACATACTTACAAATGCACGCCCTATTTTTAAACTGTCTGTGTGTGGTGAGTCGCATCCGCGCGGCCGAGATCAGCCAGACAGGCCAATGCAGCCGCGCCGCAGCTGGCTGTGGTTACCGCCCGAGCCCCGCCTCACCCCCCACCCCTCTGCCTGCTCAGTGACCCGGCTGAAGCCCCGCTGGGAGGGAAGGGGCCATGCGGGGCTCCAGCGCCCCACGTTCCGGCAGCAGGTTGCACGTCTTGGCTGCTGGCGTGGCTCTACTGCTTCTGGAAGGCAGACGCGTGCAGAGCCGGCAGTGGCCGAAGGCCCACTTGCCAGCACACCTGGGGGCAGGCGCAGGCTCGCACAATGCCCAGCATTCAATGCTTCTGCTCCAACAGAAAAGCCGCAAGTTTAGGCAGGACACCAGCAGCAGAAGATGCTATTTCCAGAAACCCACAACCACAACCCTGAAACATCTGCTCCACGCACAGCTGCTGTGCCAAGCCCAGGAGGCTCCAGTCCAGACAAGAGCTGCTGGTGCTCACTGCCTTGCTGCTAAGCAGATCAGTTCCCTCTGGGATAAAACTGAAGCAGTCCATTTCAGCTTTCTGTCATCATCCTCTTGAAGGAAGCAGAATATAAATTCTTCCACTTTCTGTTCCCAAAGCCATAAATCCTCATCGGTACCCACAATCTGACCGGATCGCGCCTTCCTTCTTAGGAAAGGATTGCTCAGGGGGTGCCTAGATAGTCTCCTTGGGTCACTCACGTCGAGCTTCTTAAGTACTCACAGGAGGAAGCGACCAGCTCGCCAGCCCCAAACAGAGCCGGTCCACCCAGAGTTTTGTCCCTCTGCAGCACGCCCTGGCTCACCGGATCATGTAGGCCAAGCTTGCTCCCAGTCCAGCCACGCCTGCAAACGCCATCAGTATGTTTCTGATGCTGCCTTCTAGGTCCTCGACTCGAAAGAAGTCAACAAAGCCCTCCTAGGAGAAAGAAGGGAAAGTCATTTCCCCACCAGACACCCTTCTTTGGCAGGAAGGGATGGAAAGCCTTTTTCCCCCACAGAGCGGGCTGGGGTACGGCCTGCCCAGCACATCCACCGAGTGTGCTCCCCCAGACTCACTACACCCACAGCCCGCCCCGCAGAGGTGGCCATCAGGAGACAGCACCAAAGCAGCTGCGGACCAGCTTCAAGCAAGCTCAGCGCCCCGGGGATTGACTTGGCTTTGGGAATGCTGCCCTCTCCCTTCGGGGCAGGGGCACATTTTTAGGTCAAGACTGCTTATTGTAAGGAGCTCCTGAAATGCCAGAACTCTGGCTAGATGTTTCAGACTCTGGTTTTAACTGGAACAGTGAGTCATCTCTGTGCTTTGCTGACACACGTGGTTGTCAAGTGAGCAGGTCACAGGAATAGGAGAGTACTGGATTGTTCTGAAAAGCTCGCAGTGCTTGGGACAGGCAGCGACTCACCCAGCCTCCCTGGCTCAGCAGCCACTCGCGCTTAGATGAGACGAGCGCATCCGTGATGATCCCTGCCAGCGAGCTGATGCATTTCTCCTGGTTTATGCTCTTCAGGTGTTTTGCAACAAAGGCACCAAACGAGATGAGCGTCACCACTCGACCCCAGTTTGTTACTCCATCACTGAACACGTGGGCAGCCACTTCACACACCGACTGCAGATCTTCCTCTTTCTGGATTTCCAGCTTCCGAAGCACTCCTGCAAAAGATGTGGGTTTAATTCCTGCAAGATGTGGGTTTAGAGGCAGGCACACACACGACACTGAATACCCCGCAAGGCCACCGGTGAGAAGATGCAGCCCCCACACTCTAGGTCGAAAAGCTGCCGAGTGTCAGTGGTGGAGAGCAAGTACCTGCCTGCTTCTGCAGAGGGCTCTGCTGCTCACCCTCGCCCGGGCCAGACAAAAACCAGGCCATAACCCACTTCTAGTTCCTTCCTCCCCACCTCAGGCACAGCTGCCATCTCTGTGCACATCACACTCCCCTGTCTCACAAGGGCTTTAAAGCCCCACCATGTCAGAACCACAGCACAGAAGTCTATTTGCAGCCTGCCGTGAGCCCTGCCCCTTGAGCCGAAACGAAGGACAGTCACCTACGGCCAGGCAGATGCCTCGCCGTTTTATTAATGTGGGTTTAGTGACTGGAAGAACAGAATTCCCCAGTTTGGCCTGCAGTGCCCCCTCATGAAAAAGCAAACAAGACAAGCCTTTACGAAACTGAAAGGCATTGCTTGTTGTTGCTCAAACTAACAGGAAGCCTTCCTGAAGCCAGTTCCTTTTCTGCACACACGAAGGTAACCGTCCCTACGGAAACCTCAGACACCAATGCCAGCAAACATTGATCTGAACATTCCTCCCAAGCGTGGCTCGTTCAACGAGCACATCCGTGAATTTGGCCAGGGTACCTGAACCCACAGCCTTTCACATCAGCCCAGCTAAGGACACAAGGAAGAAACCGAAGCCCTTTGCATTTAAAAAAAAAAAAAAAAAACAGAACATCCTCCTGCAAGAAGGAAGGCATTTCACCACACACCATCTCAGGAAGAAATGCAGACACTACCCTCCTGTGCCAGGCACCATACTGATCTGGAATCAGATGCGGTGCAATGTGTCGAAAGCAGTCCCAGCACGAGCCCCGAGGCCAGGAGCTCGGCCCCACCACCCCAACAGCTCAGCCTGGCCCCCAAACAGCCCATTTCTGAGTTACATGAAACCAGGTCAAAATGGTCGGTTCCCACTTCCAGTCCATTCCCAGGACACTGCAGTGAGGACACTTGCTCATCCAAGCCCAGGCACTGGGGTTCAAGTTTCTATGGCTATTCTAGGACTCATCGGAAGTGGGCAAAATACATTAAAATAGCTATAACCCAAGCACATTGCCTGGGAAAATTTCTCCCCCAGAAACCCCATTCCACCCAAGCCAGGGGTGTGAGGAGTTTAACTAATCTTTGGACGCTTGGGATTATTTGCATATAGTCATGCTGAGCAAAGCAGGATGGAAGGAGGAACTGGGGCTAATCTGTAACTAGATTATCTCCTCTGCACACGTTACCAGCGGTTTTTCCACCTCCCAACTGACCAAAGTTCAGTTTCATTTTTAATCACTTCTCAGCTGTTTTAACTCCCTCGAAACCAGGGCCACATCCCATCCGGTAAATGACCCACCCGAGAGCCCAGGCGTCCTCCCCGCACCCGGTGCTGGGAGGGGCGGCACAGAGGCCTTGCTCCAGCCCCCAGGGCCAGACCTCTCCCAGCCCCTGCCATGCAGCCCACCCACCTCGAGGGCCCCCCCCACACGGGGCAGGACCTCCCGGGGACCCACATCCCTCTACCCCTCCCTTCGAGGGGCAAGCCCCCAACCCCCGCCAGGACCCCACGACTGGGAAGGGACGGGACCGGGCCTATAACTCGCCCCCAAAGGAGGGGAGGGGGGCCCCGGGCCCCCCCGTAGCCTCACGCCCCCCCTGCCTAGGCGGGCCCACGGCAGGGCCCGCGGCGCTCCCCGGGGAGAAGCCGGCCGCCACGCACCCTGGAAGGCGAGCTCGTGTTTCTGCATGACGCCGTCGCCGACCCTCCGCAGCGTCTCCAGCGCCTTCTCCATCACGGCATCACCCGATCCACCGGGCCGGCCGGGCCCGCCCAGCAGTCCCGGGAAGAGTTTC